ATAGAATGAATGTAAAACTAATGTTCTCCCATGTAAACTATCACATAATTCACAATAAAACATTAAAGAAAAAAAAACAAAACAGTACACTAGTGCATTGTGAGACCTGCTAGAGGGGAAAACTTGAGGAGAAAAGTCTTGAGAAAATCTTGAAAAAGTGGTAAAGCAGGACTTTCCATCAGTGCCCAAGACCCTAGAAATCACAGAATCAAGTGTCCTTTGGCATTGAGCATCTCTAGACAGGTAAAGGAAAAAAATAAAATACAGTAGGTGCCTTTGGAGAGGCAAACGGTATGGCCAGCAGTTCAGGTAGGAAGAGACTTATTACTGCTTATTTTGGTGCACCGTGTGAATTTTGTACTAAGTCCTTGAACTTCCTCCAATTGTGTAATTGCAGTGACAATGCCATCAAGAATTAAAATGTATTTTTCTGGACAGCAGCAGATAAGTAAGAGCTCATCTTGCCATAGAAGAGGAGATAATTTTATATAAATACAGGGTCTCTATGAGTTGGAATGGACTCGGCAGCACTTAACAACAACAGATATATGTATTTTTTGCTGTTAGATGCTGTCGAGTCAGTTCCGACTCACAGTGACCCTTTATATGGTTTTCAAGGAGTGAGTGGTGAGTTTGAACCACTACCTTGTGGTTCAAACCGACCTTGTGGTCCACTGCTGTATCCCACCGTGCCACACTGGGACTCCACCTGCAACTCCTAACTTGCCTAGTCTGTCATTGCATGTCCTAGTGGCACTTTGTGTTAGGTATGTAGCTGCTAATTGCATCTCTCTCTGGAGGCTATTTGCTGCATTTAAAGATTTCAAGTCTCAGAAAATCTGTATAGAGCCCCTATAAGTCGGAACTGACTCTTTGGCAGTGGGTTTGTTTTGGGTTTGTGTGTACATACGTTGTCTCAGCTTGGCTCGAATGAGAGGAAGCTTTTTTTTTTTTTTCAGTTTTTAAAAATACGACTTTCAGAAATTCTTGAGGATTCCAGGATTTGGGGAAAGTTCCTTTGATGTGATGGCTTAAATTCAGCAAACACATTGTTGCTAAGTACAATAATGGTTAATAAATTTGGTCTAGCCTTCAAAAACAGTTCTTTTCATATGAAGAGAGCTGGTCCTTCAGACAGTTGCCTATTTTGGAATGGGAAAATCTGAATGAGGAAAAACTATCCTAGAAAAATATCTAGGAAAATAGAGCTTAAAATAGGAACTGTGATTTATATCTGTAAGCATAACTGTTTACAGCACATAAACACATGACCTGCATCACACCCTACCTCCTTGTAAAGTGATGTGATCTTGAAATTTTTTGTTACATGGCTGGTTTTGTGCTATCGAGTCAGTTCTGACTCATAATGACTCTGTATAGGGTTTCCAAGGCTATACATCTTTGCAGGAGCAGAAAGCCTCATCTTTCTCCAGCTCAGTGCTTGGTGGACTTGAATTTCTGACCTTGCAGTTGGTAGCCCGATGTGTAAACCACTATGGCACCAAGGATCTTTAAAGAAAAGAAAATATATAGGAAAAATGCCTAAGTAAAGTTTTACAGAAAAACAGCAAAGTAATTAGAAGCATTAATTTTGTAGTTTTGTTTATTTGATCTTCATATGATGTTGCTGTTAATTTTGCAGTTCACTAACAAAAGGTGGTGATTTGGGGATTTTTCACTCTAATATTTTTGGAAACCTCTGTAGTCAAGGTGTTCCCTGCAGGACCTTTGAGAACATGTTCTCTGGCATGTTCATGCTGACATTCGTGGATAGTTGTACAGGAAGAAACATTCTCCTGGGTGAGATGCTAGACGTTAAAACTTTGCTAAAAAGACACATTAAAAATTCAGACCTATGCCATCCAGTGAGGTAGTTGCCTGTAAGTAGAATATAGTACCTTCAAAGTTACATTAAAAGGAAATTGTTGTTATTGTTGTTAAGTGCCATCGATCAGTACCGACTCACAGCGACCTTATGCACAGCAGCACAAAACACTGCCTGATCCTGGGCCAACATCACTTGTGTTGCCACACTTGAGTCCATTGATGCTGTCACTTGGACAATCCATCAAGCTAGGGGTCTTCCTCTTTTTCTCTGATGCTCCACCTCACCAAGTGTGATATCCTTCTCCAGTGACTGGTCCCTCCTGACAATATGTCCAAAGTATGAGTGATGAAACCATCCGGGACTCCAATAAGCATTCTGGCTGCACTTCTTCCAACACAGATCTTTTGATTCTTTTGGCAACTCATGGCACTTTCAATATTCTCCTCCAGCACCATAACTCAAAAGCATCAATTCTTCTAGGGTCTTCCTTATTCACTGTCCAGCTTTCACATGCATATGAGGTTATTGAAAATACCATGGCTTGGGTCAGGTGCACATTAGTCCTCAAGCA